TGGGGGGAAATGGTAGAATGCTGGCATGCGTGCCAAGCAACGGGGGAGGGTCCTCATGGTAGAAGCCATGCCGCCCCAACCCAGCACCAGCACCAGCACACCCCCCTTCCCCCCCACACACACCTGCTGCTCCATGGAGCGCCGCTCGCGGTCGTTGCGCCGCCCGTCGGCATCCATCTGCGCCAGCTGCGCCTCCAGCCGCCGCTTCTCGGTGGACAGCGACTCCAGGCTGGCAGACATGTCGGTGTAGGCCGCCTTGACCCGCTCATACTCGCCCTGCACCGTACGTGGCACAAGAGGCGGTGGCAGGAGAGGCATGGTGACGGGTGGGACGTGTGCTGGGGGGGGGGCCTTCAGGCAGCCGCCATCTGTGCAGCCAGGAAGCAGCCAAGCACCGAGCCACACACCAGCAGCCAGCCAGCCTGCGGCCGCCCACCTGCTGCTCCTTGACCAGCGCCGCGCGCTTCTCCACCTCGCTGCACAGCTCCTCCATCACAATCTCCTGCTGCCGGTTGCGCAGCCGCTCCGCGCGGTACCGCTCATGCATCTCAACATACTTGCTGTACAGCTCGGTAGCGCTCAGCCCAGCGTCGGCAGAAGCATCGCTGGCGCCGGGGGACATGCCGGGCGAGCCGCGCGCCGCGGACGCGCCTCCGGGCGTGCCGCCGCCCGCCGCCGCCAGCATGGGCAGGTTGCCAGAGGCGGCGGCGGCCAGCATGCGCTGCCGCTGCACGCGCTCCTCGGCCACCAGCTGCTCCGCGGCATGCCGGGCCTCCTCCTCCTTGGCCAGAGCCTCCTGGGCTGCTGCACGAGAGCTCTGCAGGGCAGGCAGCAGGCGGTCGCAGCACAGGGTGGACACAGCAGCAGCAGGGGCACGAGCAGCACCCAAGCGGCACCCCCGCTCCAGTGCCTGCAGCCCACGGGGCAGCCACTCCCTGCCCTTGCAAGCCTGAGCCCTGTCCCTGCCCCTCTGCCTGCGCCCCACCTCCATGTGCTGCTTCAGCTCCTGCACCACCCCCTCCAGCTCCGTGCACTTGGCGGCCCGCTCCTCCTTGGCCTCGCGATACAGGCGAGCCATGCGCTGCGCCATGCCCAGCTCCTTCTCAAACGACTCCTGCTTCACCGCAGCCTCCTCGCGCACGGCGCGCAGCTTAGACGACGCCTCCTGCAGCCAGGCGGTGGGCCGGGTGCGGGAAAGGGCACCGTCAAGCAGCCACTGGCAGCCTCAGCCCCGGCCTGTACAAGCCTGTGCAGCATGTCTGCTGCAAGGCTTGGGACCCTGGCTCACGACCCAACAGCTTGACGAATGCCGGCGGCTCCAGGCAGCCCCAGGCCACCCCACCTCTGCCGCCTGCCGCTGCGCCTCGAGCTTCTCCGCCAGCCGCGTGTGCTCCGCCTGCAGGCGCTGCGCAGTGGCCTCGGCCTCCGCCAGCCGCCGCTGCAGGTCCAGGATGGTGTCGGTGGCCTTGCGCCGCTCCGCGTTGAACGCCTCCGACTTGCGCTCCAGCTCCTAGCGGAAGGAGGGAGCCAGGGGCCAGACATGAGGGCAACAGGTCAGGAAGTGTAGGTCGGGCTGCGTGCAGCAAGAAATGAGGCACAACGCCAGCTGACAGCTCCTGATCGCACATGGCGCCCCTGCCCCGCTGCGCCTGCTGACCTGGCTGAGCCATGCGTTGGTCTTCTCCATGATCTCCTTCTCCTGCTGCAGCCGCGACTGCGTGAGCGCGCTGCGGCTGGCGGTCGCCTGCGCCTCGTGCAGCTTGGCATCCAGCGCCGCGTTGGCCTCGGTCAGCGCCACATTCTTGTCCGCCGCCGCCGCCAGCCGCGTCTGCAGCTCGCTGATCTCGCTCTGCTTCTCCTGCACACACGCAAGCACACGGCGAGGGGCCCGTGCGCACAAGCGTTCGACACCACGGCAGCGCTTGAGCCTCTGGCAGCAGAAGGGAAAGCCAGCAGAGGCCAAACTGCCGCGTTTGCTAGCATGCCGCACTGCAAAGCTACATGATGGGCTGGCCTCCAGCCAGGCGCCTGCCTCTCCCACCTGCAGCAGTTTGTCCAGGCTGGATTTGTCGCTCTGCAGCGACCCAATCTCGACGTTGCGTCTCTCCAACTCTGCATCCTTGGCCATCAGCGCCGTCTGCACCTTGCTGTGCTCCATCCGCGCCGTCGTGAGCTCCTGCAGCAACACAGTGGAGAGTCCGCCAGCCAGTCAGCAGGAAGCACTTCCCACATGAGCGCTTTGCACAAGCAGTAGGCAAGGCAGGTGTAGGGCACAGACGGGCCCCACCTTGCGCAGTGTCTCATTCTCTTGGAACAGCTTCTCCTTCTCCGCCGCCAGCGCAGTGTGCTTGCCCTCCAGCAGGCGGTAGCGCTGCTCATTGGACTGCAAAGGAGTGGCGGCGGCAAAGTCGAGGTGGCGGCGGCGGCGGTGGGTGGGCAAAGAGGGCGGGCATGCGCGGCCCTCCATTCACTTGCACAGCCTATTCTTCACACTGCCAGCCAGCCAGGAGCCGGCCCCCGGCTGCGAGGCCGCACCTGAGAGGCTTGCTCAGCGCTGATGGCTGCCGCCTCGGCCTGCGTGGTGTGGTAGACGCAGCGGGAGGCTGTGAGGGACACATCGGCGTGCATGGCAGGACGCAAGACACACGCCGGCCAGATCAATAGGGGTGTGGCAGGGCTCTCTCCCACCTGCGCCACCACCGTGGCTATCTCCTCTTCCAACTGGGCCACCCGACTCTGCAGGGCGCCCACTGCGTCTGGCGCCATCGTTGGCGGCCGAAGACGATCAACTTAGCTGCCTGCTCCCTCAGCGCATACTTGCTGCGGCCGGGAAGGCTCTGGTGCAGTGTACAGTGCAGCGCAGATTGCTGGAACGCCCGATGGCAATGGCACTGCTGTCCCGCCCGTTGTGCCCGAGCGGCTGCCGCTTGTTGGGGCCGGCTTGCGAAATTCCTGCTTGTTTCATTCATGGCAATGTGTCAAAAGTTCAGTTATGATTATTTCGCATTGCCGCAGAAGAAATCAATAGGATGCATTGCAGAAAGCAACAACTTCCTGAACCGCTGCTGCTCCTGCCGCTACTTCTTCTCCCTCCGCCGCTGCTGCTCCTGCCGTTTCTTCTTCTCCCTCCTGCCGCTGCCGCTGCTGCTTTTCCTGCTTGGCAAGCAGCTTGCCAAACAGAGAGGTGGCAGGGGATGGCGCAGTCGAGGAGGTACTGCGCCAGACCACCTCTCGGCCCTCGTGCTGCCGACAGCTGCCACCGCCGCACAGGCACACCGAGGGCAGCGAGGACACGATGGCGTCGGAGACCAGCGGGGTGATATCGCACAAGTTCTCGTTCAAGTTGAACACCATCTCATCTAAGTCTGCCTCCCGCTGCTCGTCTCTACCAGATGCTCCTCCGGCTTCCAGCAGCACAACCGCATCAAATGCCACGCCGTCGAGGCTGGCCTGGAAGGGCTCGCTGCACATTTCGCAGCGCAATGGCACGTCGGCTGCCACCGTACCTCGCACCACCAGGGCTCCCAGTCCCGCAGGCAGCTCAACCTGGAACGTTGCGGTGGCATGGCACTCCGGTGCTGCAGCCGCTGCGCCGTCCAGGCCACTCACGCCCTGCTGCCGCAACTGCAGCTCGCTCAGCGCGGCGCTCTGCTCAAAGCACCAGGGGGGGTTCCACGTCAGGTCGGAGCGAGCGATGAAGAAGGGCAGGTCCTCACGCCGCCTCCTTCGCCGCTGCCTGCCACTGGCATGCTGGGCAGCCGAAGGCTGCTCGTGGCTGGGCCGTGCTGCTGCTGCTGAGATCCAGCCTGGTCCCCCACGCCTGCTCCCGCTGCTGCCACGCCTGCTCCTGCTGCTGCCGCCACTGGTGTTGCCGATGGCGCCGCAACTGGAGGCGGCAGCAGCGGTGGCAGGTGCACTGCACCACGCTACTCTGCTACAAGTCTGCAGCTTGCTGTGGCCATTCCAATTGCCGCCCGTGGGCTGGTGCGCACTCGCCCCGAAAGCGGGCAGAGGAGGCATTTCCCACCGGTGCGTGTGGATCCTCCAATCCTCCTCCAATGTCAAGATGCCCAATGCCACAGTCTCACGGCCAGCGTGAGAGGAGAGCAGGTGTCGTGCTGGCAGCCAGCAACGCAATCGGAAATACATACATGGCTCGATGTATCTACTATATATGCATGGCTCAATAGAACCCTGCATCGGTGTTCTCTGCAAGCTCAAGGAGAGCCTGCTCCAACGACGGCCTCCCCGCTCCCTCCACCTCCTCCCTCAGCACTTTGCAACTGGGTCGGCAGCGGTAGTGTTAGCAAATGGCTGAAGAGGAGCGGGAGCAGCAACCCGGGGAGGAGCAGCATGCCGCCGATGGAGAGCGCCCGCCTCGCAAAAAGGGCAAGGTGGGCGCGCATACCTGCACGCGCCTGCTGCCACTGCAATGCAGGCCCCCCTGCTGAGCTGCGGCGGCAGCGGCGGGGGTCTTCCGCCAGGCGTGCAGCGGCGGGTCTTCCACACACCACGCTGCTGCCGCCCCGCCTGTGCAGCACAAGAAGGACAAGCCGTGGGACCACGAGGGCATTGACCACTGGAAGATTGAGCCGTTCAAGAAGGAGGACAACCCCTCGGGCCTGCTGGAGGAGAGCTCCTTCGCCACGCTGTTTCCCAAGTACCGAGGTGTGCCACCCCTGGACTGGCAGCTTCTTTTCAATGCTACCGCAATGCATGCGATGCGCATTACCGATGGATGCTGTTGGACACCTGGTACATCTGCATGTTGGTGCTGGCAGCTGGCAGTTTTGGCCATGCATGTACCGAGATCCCTGAGGGTATGCCAACGCGCCTCGCTGCCTCTGGTCCTGTACCCTTGTGCAGAAAAGTACCTGCGCGAGGTGTGGCCCGCGGTGACCAAGGCGCTGAAGGAGCAGGGCATCGCCTGCGAGCTGAACCTGGTGGAGGGCAGCATGACGGTGCGCTGCCGCCGCGCTCGCGCCACGCTCCCCACCACACCCCTCCCAGAAGGGGCACGCCCTGCAATGTGTTTCTGATTTTTTTACGTATGCAGGTGCGCACCACACGCAAGACGTACGACCCCTTCATCATCCTGAAGGCCCGTGACCTCATCAAGCTGCTGGCACGCTCAGTGCCTGCACCGCAGGCAAGCGGCTGCAGTTTCATCGTTTATGGCAATGGATGCTGTTCCCAAGCGCTGCCGTCAACACCACATGGTTGGCCTGCCCATCCAAACCCTTCCATGCTCTCTGCCCTCCCCCCGACCTCACATTCCAACACACACGCACATGCATCGCGTCCCCCGCAGGCGCTCAAGGTGCTGGAGGATGAGGTGCAGTGCGACGTGATCAAGATTGGCGGCATCGTGCGCAACAAGGAGAAGTTTGTGAAGCGGCGGCAGCGCCTGATCGGCCCGAACGGCGCGACGCTCAAGGCGCTGGAGCTGCTCACCGGCTGCTACATCCTGGTACAGGGCAACACGGTGTCCGCCATGGGGGACTACAAGGGGCTGAAGCAGGTGTGGTGGGGGCCCTGGCGCAGGGAGGCAGTTGTGCCCTGATGAGTGGTGGCACGCTGCACCAGATGCCTGCATGCGCCTTCCTGGCGCCCTCCCCTGCCCCACCTGCGCCCAGTCATTCCCCCATCTCGGATCCCTCCCCCTCCCTTGCCCTGCACCTCACCCATGTGTTTGCGCTGCCATGCAGGTGCGTCGCATTGTGGAGGACTGCGTGAGGAATGTGCACCCCATCTACCACATCAAGACGCTCATGATCAAGCGGGAGCTGGCCAAGGACCCCGCGCTGGCAGAGGAGAACTGGGAGCGCTTCCTGCCCAACTTCAAGAAGAAGAACGTGCAGCGCAAGAAGCCCAAGAAGGTGCAGCAACGGGGTGTGGAGAGGAGCAGAAGGCCCCACTACGTATGTCCGCAGCTGCCCCTTGGCTTGCCTTGCCATACCGACCTGCCATGCCCGCTTCCCCGCTATCTCCTTGTGTGCAGGTGCGGGAGAGGAAGGACTACACGCCCTTCCCGCCGCCACAGCCGCCCAGCAAGGAGGACCTGATGCTGGAGAGCGGCGAGTACTTTCTGTCGGCGGAGCAGAAGGCGGCGCGTGCGGCGGCGGCACAGGCGACGCGGCAGGCAGCGCGTGTGGAGGAGCGGCAGCGACAGCGCGAGGCCGCGTTCCAGGCGCCCGCCGAGATGCGAGGCAGCGGGGGCGCGGGCAGCGCTGGCGCCCAGCAGCAGCAGCAGCAGCAAGGGCAGGAGACGTCGGCCAGCCTGGCGGCCTCGCTCAAGAAGAAGCTCAAGGGTGAGCCTGGGAACAGGCGCATGCAGAGGTGGTAGCTTTGCGGCTGTTCTTGCCAGCGCCAAAGTTGACATGTGCTCTGCGGTTGCCTGGTACATTACATGCAGGCAGCAACAGGGAGGGGGCCGCGGCAGGCGGTGGCGGCGATGTGTCGATGTTCTTAGCGGCCGGCACAGCAGACGTGGCAGGCAGTGGCAAGCAGGGATCGGGAAAGAAGAAGAAGAAGCGGAAGTCAGAAGGGGGGGCCGGCGACGGCGCACAGGAGAAGAAGCTGAAGCAGAAGAAGAGCAAGCAGCGGGAGTGACATCATCATAACATTCTGCTGATGCTGCTTGACGTTTTTTCCCGTTCACTTCACCGGCCACAAGTGCGGACAGCCCCATCAGTAACAGCACATGTCAACAATACAAAGTTGACAAGACTGCAACTTACATACAAGCACGCATGGCATACAGTACAATCGCTGGCGAGCGGCAGCTAGGGCAGGCCCCCTGCTCTCAAATGAGCACCTCAAATGAGCCATTGCGAAAGCACCCAGCCCAGGCGGGCACCCGACCCGACACCGCCAGACCCGACACCGCCAGCGGCACAGGCTTTCAGCTCAATCGGGCGCCTGCCGGAAAGCCCTCCTCCATGATCCTCGGCTGTCAGGCAGCTGATGCAAGCGAGCCACGGGCAAAATCAGGAGCGCAGGGCCGCTCTTGGCCTTCTCCCCTTGATGTCAAGAGAACAGGTTGGGGCTGAGCAGTGACTGATGGAAAGCAACATCACACCTCCCCGAATACGTCAATGGGCGGTCTGAAAGAGCAAACCATGACGATTGCAGGACACGCTGGCAGTTTGGGGATCCTGCTCTCCAACCCTGTCCATCCACCTTCTGGCCATCCTCCGTTACCCAAGGATCCATCCGCGCCCTTTTCATGCACCCTCCCGCTACACAGCCGAGCAGCTGCATCCACTGAAAACTAGCCGCGTTGATGGCTCGCTCGTTGACGGGAGTTGGGCTGCTGGGACGTCGTTGCGCGCTGTCACCGTCGCCCCGCAGCCCGCGGATGACGAGTGCCCCGTCGGGCGCCGCCGCACAGGGCTTGCCCGCCCGGCGGCGGCAGCGGCGTGAAGCGCAGCAACCAGCACAGCAATGGCAGCGGCATCCGGAACACCGGCAAGACAGATCATCAACGGTACCGGGCAGCACCAGCCGCAGAGGCGAAGCAGTAGCCCTCGGCGAGGAAGGAGGCTCTACCAACGGGGCAGCCACAGTCACCGCCAGCAGCAGCTGGCAGCAGCGGGACAAGCCGCTGGGGCGGCACGTGATGTGGCGCCTGCTGATGCAGCAGAAGCGGCACCTGGCGCTGGCCCTCGTCTCCCTGCTGATCTGCGTCTCCATGAACCTGCTGTCGCCCGTGTTGCAAGGCATGCTGTTTGACGTGCTGGTTCGTGGCCAGCACTTCAGCGAGTGAGTCCTTGCCGGCGCCGTGACTGGCCTGCTGTCGGTCTTGGAGCGCACTGTCTGGCTTGGACAGGCTTTGCGTGGCGTGCATGCATCCTACCGTCCTTGAAGCGGCTTGTTGGACAGGTGTGAACGCACACCACCCGCGAGTGCGGTGAGACTCCTCACTCCTGCTTGGGTCCCGGCAGGTACTCCAAGCTGTTCCTGGGGCTCCTGTTCATCTACGTGGCAGAGCCGCTGCTGTCACAGGTGGGTGGGCGGATGGGGTGGGCCTGCGACTCCCGCTGTGGCCTCCCCAGCACACATGACACGCGCTCTCTCTCTCTCATTTCCTCACTGCCTGCCTGCCCCCGCCCTGCCCACAGGTGTACATCCTAAACGCCTGCGCGGCGGGCGAGAAGCTGCAGGCGTCGCTGAGGCTGGAGGCCTTCCGCTGCTTGCTGGCGCAGCGGGTCGAGTTCTTCGACCGCCACTCCTCCTCCCGCCTCACCCAGCTGCTCAGCCGCGACCTCGACTCCATCCGCGCCTTTGTGTTCACCAACAGCGCTCGTGACCGTGGGCCGCGGGCGCTGCTGGAGGCTCTGGGCTCCGTGGCGGTGCTCTTTGCCCTCAGGTGGGCGGGGAGGTGTGAAGGCGCGGCTGCATGCCTGCTGCCGTGAGCCCTGCCGCGGCCCTGGGTGGTCCCCGCCAGCCCTGTCTTGCACCTGCCACCGTTGCAGCTGGCGGCTGGGTCCCATCCTGGCTGCCGTCATCGTGGCCAGCGTGTGCACCGCCTTTCTGTACCGCCGCCAGACGCGGGCCCTGGAGGCCACCAGCGCCGCCGCCCAGCAGCGCCTGGCCGAGGTGGCCTCCAGCTCCTTTGCCAACATGCGCACCGTGCGCATCTTCGCGGGGGAGGCGCTGGAGCAGCAGCGGTTTGGGCAGCAGGTGGCCCGCTCGTACGCCAGCGGCCTGGGCTTTGCGCGGGCAAAGGCGATGCTGGAAGGTGGGGCCCGTGCATTGCTTGCATGGGCGTGGCAACGGGCAGGTGTCTCGGTCGTCAGCCTCCCAGCCATTTCTCGACAGCCAGCCAACGCGTTCCGGTCACGATGCTGTGCGATCTGCTGCGCCCTCCTGGGCGTGCAGGCATCAACCGCAGCGCCACCCACCTGTCGCTGCTGGCGCTGTATGCGCTGGGCGGGCACCTGGTGAACAACAAGCTGCTGCCGGTGGGCGTGCTGGTCACATCCATCGGCTTCACCTTCAGCCTTGTGTTCGCCACACAGGTGGGTGGGGACCTGCACCGCTGCAGCATGCAGTGTAGCGGGAAGGCCGGTGGGGGACGCCCAGCCGGGCAGCACACCCAGCGCGGGGAGGAGGCCTGCTTGCCGCAGCTGGGCCCAGCAGGCATTGCGCCGTCTGCGCTTGCTACCCACACGCTTTTCCCGTTGCCGCCGCCTCTGCAGGGCATGCTGCAAACCTTTGCCGACCTGCGCGGCATGGTGGCGTCGGTGCGCCGCGTGCGGGCCACGCTTTCAGAGCTGCCGCCCGACGAGTCGATGGCGCAAGCGCTGCCGCCGCTGCCGGAGGCCCCTTGGGAGTACCCGCTAGTTGCGCCATTTAGCAATGGGGACGGCCCGCTGGGGCTGGCGGATGAGGGCCCGGTGCCTGTTGGCGCCGCCAACGGCAGCCATGTCGTCGCCGGCGAGGGGCTGGCGGTGGCGGCTGCGCAGTGTGGCGACCTGCGCCTGGAGGGCATCAGCTTCAGCTACCCGGTGCGGCCGGGCGCCCCCGTGCTTAAAGACCTGAGCCTGACCCTGCCCCGCGGCAAGGTCACGGCGCTGGTGGGCAGGTGAGCCTCCGCGGCTCCGGCCTGCGCTGACTGGCTTCAAGCGGGCCGGACGCAGCTTCATGTCATGCCTTCAGCCTGCCCTCCCTCCCCACCTGCTTGCCCATTCCAGCCCCTGCCGCCCGCATTACCTGCCCTGCAGGTCTGGCGCCGGCAAGTCCACGGTTGCTGCGCTGCTGGAGCGCCTCTACACGCCCGATGCCGGCAGCATCACGCTGGGCGGGGCCGACATCCGCGCCTTCACCCGCGGCGAGTGGTGCGGCGCGCTGGCGGCTGTCAGCCAGGAGCCGGTGCTCTTCCCTGCCAGCATTGCCTACAACATCGGTGAGAGGCGGCCGCGCAGCCAGGCCCCCAGCCAGCCAGCGCAGCTGGAGTGCACCGCTGCGCAGCATCTCGCCATCGGCAGCCTCGCGTGATGCTGCACACCCGCTTTGGCGCTTGAGGGGCCCATCGCACCGCCCGCCCCTTCCTGCCCTGCAGGCTATGGCCGCTCCATGCAGTGCACCCAGGCGGAGATTGAGGCGGCAGCGCGGGCCGCCAACGCCCACGAGTTCATTGCGGCGCTGCCCGAGGGCTACGCCACGGTGGTGGGCGAGGCCGGCAGCCTGCTGTCGGGCGGGCAACGGCAGCGCATCGCGTTGGCGCGCGCTCTGCTCAAGGTGGGGACAGCCCGGGAGCAGGCGACTGCGCATCTGTGGCTTGCCCGTCATCATTGCTGCTGCTGCTCCTTGTGCCTGGTGCCTTGGCACGTGTGGGTTGTCCTCGTCTGCTGCTTCTGCCGCTGGGGCCCTACCCCTCTGCCTCCGCCGCCTACCCACGATGCCTGCTGCAGGACGCCCCCATCCTCATCCTGGATGAGGCCACCAGCTCGCTGGATGTTGAGAACGAGCGGCTGGTGCAGGCGGCGATCGAGAAGCTGATGGAGGGGCGCACGGTCATGGTCATCGCGCACCGCCTGTCCACCGTGCAGAACGCGGACCAGGCACGGGCGGGCGGTTGCAGCCGCACCTGCCAGCCGCATGCTGCTGCCTGGCATTTGAATGCGTGGGCCGGTCGCCCCACCTCTAGCTCTTAGCTCTTTGCTGCTGCTGCTGCCGTGCAGATTGTGGTGCTGGAGGCTGGGCAGGTGGTGGAGCAGGGCACCCACAAGCAGCTGCTACAGCGGCCCGGCAGGTACTCCGCCTTGGTCAGCGCTCAGGAGCTCACGCTGCAGCAGACGCTGTTGTGAACAGGCTGCCCTTGTGTTCATGTGTCATTAGACCTCTGTCCCTTCTTGAGAGAGTTAGCACTTGTTTCTGAGTAAATGAGTAGAGAGCCCAGAGTAACAAGAAAGAATCGTGGTGGAGAAGGAAGTGGCTTTGGGTTTTTCATATTTCTGTTGGTTGGGCACAAATTGGGTTTAAAGACCTTAGGTGATCAGCGCCTTCACTGGCTATTGCCTGAATGGCTCCCAAGGTTGTGGTGGCAGCTGTAGACGAAACAGCGGCCTGTGAGGCTGCTGTGGAGTGGCTGGCCAACAATGTGGTCGGCGACGGGCGGCTGATAGTGCTGTGGGCCGCGCCGGCGCAGCAGGGGCCATACAACAGCGGTGGCAGGCCCACCCAATATTCGGAGGTGCAGCAGAGGGTGTGAGCTAGGTTGATTAACAGCAGCTGGTCCACAAGGGGATTCAATGGTGTGGTGCAGTGCTGCTACGCTCCTGTTGCTTATATGGCCCGGGCTTCGCCCCTTCTGTTTGTGCAGCTCGAGGCAATGAGGGAGGGCTGTAGGCGACGCTTTCCCAAGGCTCATGTGAATCGGGTCGGGAAGAGAGATGCATTAGCCCTGCCCTGCATCTTTTCAGCAGCATCTCCCTGTGTCTATGCCACAGGACGCCGAGGTCATTACCTGCCCAGGTGGCAGTAGCGATGAGATTGGGCGAGCTATCCTGGCACGTGCCCAGGAGCTGGGCGCCGGGCTGCTGGCGCTGGCGCCGCACACCAAGACTGCTGCGCAGCGGGTGCTTCAGGGAAGCGTCACAGAAGCGTGCCTCAGGTGAAGCTTGCCTCTAAGGTGGTGACCTTTGCTGTTTTGGGTGAATCATGACAAATTTGTGAATGCCTGCGCTGACACCTGCCTCCCTCTTGTCCATTTCCTGGAGCTGCAGGCACAGCCGGCTGCCGGTGCTTGTAGTGCAGGGCGTGGGCATGCAGAGCACGGCGAAATGAGGCTTGAGACAGCGACTCGGGCAGGCCAAGTTGCGGCGGTGTCACGGCGAGCGGGCGGGCACCTGCTGCACTGGAGGGAGAGGCCCCTGCTGCACGACAGCAGATGCATTGCATGCATCCACCAAGATGTTGCCTGCTTTCGCCAGCCAGCGCCACATCGTGCTTGAGGTACTGCCTGGGGATGTGATGTCGGCCGGCCTACAGGAGGTCCAGCAGGCCCTGAACAACAACAAATGGGCTGTGGCGATGCGCATGCGCCCGCCAGGGGACGCTGCAAGTGCCCAGGGGCGGTGAACAAAGGTGCTTTCGGACCCAGGCTGGCCAGAAGAAAGAACCCCCGGCCAGCGAACATCCCAACGGCTCGTCTGGGCCGTCCACCCGAACGGCGACGCCATGGAGGCCGAGGGAGCACCGGCGCCCGGGCAAGAGCTTCCAGTGGAGGCGCAGCACAAGACAACTGGCAGCGATTCAAAGTTGCCAGAGGCGGGGGGCCTCGATCAGCCCGCTGCTGGTGAGTGCAGGCCCTTGGGTGCCCCACCCCGCGCCCCCGCCACAGACAGACGTTTGGAACTCGGGGCCTGCCAGCTGCGCGCCGTTCCCGCCGCTTGCCCGAGCGAATCGGGTACTTTGTGCGCGTGCTGTAGGAGGGGGCGGCGGGGCCCCCAACCCCGCGCTGTCACGAGTGGGGCAGGCAGCCCTACCGCCACCGCCTCCCCTCCCGCCGCCCCCTGCTCCCTCACCTCATGTCTGCCTGCCCATCCATCCTGCAGACGACGGTGCCGTCGCCGCTGCTGTCGCCGTGGAGCCAGAGCAGCCCACGGAGCAGGTGATGGAGGAAGAAGCGGCAGAGCTGGCACCGCAGGAGCCGGTGGCAGCGGCAGAGGTGTGTTTGGCTTATTGTTTGTCTAACTAAGCGCGCGCCGGCATCCGCGGTCGCCTGGCTGCGCCCTACAGGCTAGCTGTCCTTTCCCACTCCTGGCGGAGCTTCCACTGATACACTCATTATTTGCAACCCTGCCTGCTTGCCTGCAGCCTGCCGCCGAGGCGCCACCTGCCGAGGCGCCTGTGGAGTGGGAGGCACCTCCGGCTGCCGAGGAGGCTGCCGTGCCCGTAGAGCCGCCTGCAGCTGAGGAGCCCAAGGAAGAGCCTCCAGCGGCAGAAGAGCCCAAGGAGGAGCCTGCGGCTGAGGAGCCAGTGGCGGCCGACGGCGGCAGCAAGAAGCGGCCGTTGGAGGAGGACGCTGCCCCAGGGGGCGAGGAGCCGCTGGCCAAGCAGCCCAAGCTGGAGGAGGCCGCCCCTGCAGCAGCGCCTGCATCGGACAAGCCACGCGTGCGGGCCAACCAGAACCATCCCGCGGCCATCGCCTTGCGCAAGAGGAAGTCGCGCAAGCCTGCCACCTTGCCGGCCGAGCCGGAGGTGCTGTTCCCGGTTGGCCAGTCCCCCGCCGACCTGCACTGCCCACGTCGCCTGCGGACCGCCACCGCTCGGCGGCCCCGCAGCAACCGTGCTGCATGGGGGCGGCTGAAGCAGGTGGGGCGCGGTGGCGAGTGGCCTCTGCCGGCACTGCCTCAAGCGGCTTGCGCCGGGCCCTGTCCGCCACCCTTTGGTGCACGACTCCTGCTGCACTGCACGCAGCACACTGCTGGCTCGTGCACCTCTCTGATCACTTACCCACGCTGCCTGCCCCTCGTCCTGCAGGCGGCCCACGGCACGCTGCCGCTGGGCACCAAGCGGAGCAAGAGCGTGTACTGGCAGGGGGCTGTGGAGGAGGTGCAGCCCTCGGCCAGCAGCAGCGAGGAGGAGGACGAGGAGCCCAGCAGGTTTGTTCAAATGCTGCTGGGAAGCCCCTGTTTGCATGAATTGAACGGCCGGCAGCATTTCCAGCTTGGCAAGGTTTGCCAGCACCCTGCGCAGCTCCCCCTCCCGCGCTGACGGTGTGCTTGTGCCTGCCAATCCGCCTGCCTGCAGCTCCGAGTACAGCGACAGCGACGAGGACAGCGAGGGTCCGCGCCGCAGGAAGGGGGCAGGCCGTGGCGGTGGCCGCACCTCGGGTGCCGCCAACCACCACCAGGCACAGCGCCCCAGCGGCAACCAGGGCAGCTATGGCGGGGTGAGCGCTTCGGTGGCCAGCTGTGCTGCTGTGTTTGCCTGGCTCGCCACCCTGTAGAAATATACAACAGGCACGTCCAAGCAGTCATGTTGTGCTCACCTACACCTTTGTGCTCGCTGGCCCCTCCACCGCTGCCTGTGCAGCAGGCCGTGGACCCCGCCATTGCTGCCCAGCTGGCCAACGTGCCGCCCCACATGCGTCAGATGGTGATGCAGCAGCTTCTGCAGCAGCGCCAGCAGCAGCAGGCGGCGGCGCGTGCCCCCAACTTCACCGACCTCAACCAGCAGCAGCAGCAGATGGTGATGCAGCAGCTGATAGCCAGCCTGCCACTGCAGATGCAGAACCAGTTTGCCCAGCTGGCGCCGCAGCAGAAGCTGCAGTACATCCAGCAGCTGTACGCACAGCGCGTGCAGCAGCAGCAGGCGGCCGCCGCCGCCCAGCCTGCTGCCCAGCCCGCTGCCGCTGCCCAGGCGCAGGCGCAGATGGTGCAGCAGCAGCAGCTGCAGCAGCAGCTGTCCACCCTTTACACCACACTGCCGCCAGCCATGCAGCAGCAGCTGGTGGCGCTGCCGCCCGATCAGCAGCGCGCCATGCTGCTCCAGATCTTCCAGCAGCAGCAGCAGCAGCGCCAGCAGCAGGAACAGCAGATGCGGATGCAGCAGCAGCAGATGGGTGGGGGCCAGCAGGCACCCCAGGCGCAGCAGCCTGTTGACGTGACGCAGGTATGTGCCCGGGAGTGTGTTGCAGCGTCGTAAAGCACCCTCATGCATCCTCGCCTACATGCTGCCTCCGTTGACCCATTTGTGCAGTTCCTGTCCTGATGAGACCACCTAGGGTTGCCCACGTTTTCCCGATGTGACCAGACCCACCGCCGGCAGCCGCCTCGACAGCCACACGTGGCCTGCCAGGTCTACTGGCAGCCGCCATCTTGCGCACACTTCCCACACAGTCCTTGATTGATGTGCTTGTGCATGCGCGGCTGCACGACCCTTCAACACCCTGACCCTTGCCAGCCTTACCTGGCGTGCGGCTGAGCCGCCGCACCGCTTTGTTTTGACCAACCACTTTGGGGCCTGCCGCACGGTGTGCGTGCAGAGGGCTTTGTCATGTTTGTCTCGCGTGTCGTGCACCTCCTGCCGCCTTCTATCCCACCCTTTCCTTTGTCCAGCTGCGATGTGACTGTAACAATAGGCCATGTCTTCTACAAATGGGCAGTCCCTGCCTGCCCCCTCCCCCGCTTTGAACGGCAGCATGCATGACCAGAGGATCGTGGCTGGTACCATCGTGCTGCTGCCAGTGCCGCCCCTCCATTATTACATTTCATTCCTCCAGATTATCTATCATCGGTGCAGCAGCGGCAATGCCCTGCATGTTTGGATGTCTGGTGAACCGCACCTGCTGCCCCGCCGCTGAGCTTGCCACGCCCATCATGCCACCGCGGCTGAAATGGGATGAAACCAATCCCTGCTCTCTCTCGCCTGGCATCTTGGCTCGAGCAAAGTCCGAGGGCGAGTGCAGCGAGGGTGTGTAGGAGCGCGGCCAATGTCGCTGGAAATCGAGGCCACAGAGTGAGCAGCCGGCGCTGATGGAATTCCAGGCGTCCGATCTGTGCTAGGACGCTGCCTGGTGCCGCTGTGGCACGCAGGCCTTGCTCAGTCTCTTCGTCTGTTCCCTCTCTTTTGTTCCCTGCAGCGTGATCAAGATCATTTTACAGTTTTGCAAGGAGAACTCGCTGGCGGAGTCGTTCAACGCAATCCAGGTGCGGCACCAGGGCCCGCCCGGCACCCCCGCCACCTGCGCTGCCGCCCTTGCCTGTTGTCGCCTCCCTGGCCAGCCAGCCAGCCATTGCAACTCTGCTGCACTGTACCCGCCTGCAGAATGAGTGCCAAGTGTCGCTCAACACGGTGGACAGTATCGAGAGCTTTGTGTCCGACATCAACAATGGGCGGTGGGACCTGGTGCTACCGCAAGTGGCTAACCTGAAGCTGCCTCGTGCCAAGCTGGAGGACCTGTACGAGCAGGTGCGGGCTGGGCTTGCAGGGTATCAGGGGATCGTGTGGCTGGGGGGATGAAGCCAGGCAGGCAGCAGCAGCGCCCGCGTTGCCTGCGCGCGCCGCCCCGAGCAGACCAGCGCGCTGCCGCGCCCGCCCTCTGCCCCCGCAGGTGGTGCTGGAGCTGATTGAGCTGCGTGAGACAGACACGGCACGCGCCATGCTGCGCCAGACCCAGGTGTTTGCCCGCATGAAGGGCGACGACGCGGAGCGCTACCTGCGCCTGGAGCACCTGTGCAACCGCGCCTACTTTGATGCGCGGGAGCTGTATGGCGGCACGCCCCGCGACAAGCGGCGCGCCCAGCTGGCGCACTCGCTGAGCAGCGAGGTCAGCACGGTGCCACCATCGCGGCTCATGGCGCTGGTAGGCCAGGCGCTCAAGTGGTGAGTGGCGAGCCTGTGCTGTGCGTGCCTTGCCTGTCTGTGCCCTGTTGGAAGCACGAGGGAGGTATCGCGGTAAGTCTGGCCTGCCCCCTGATCCCAGCCCCTCCCCCTCCCCCTGCCCCGCCGCCCCTGCAGGCAGCAGCAGCAGGGCATGCTCCCGCCGGGGGCCGCCTTTGATCTGTTCCGCGGCACGGCAGCAGGGGCGCGGGACGAGGTGGAGACCTTCCCCGCCGACCTCGACCGACAGATCAAGTTTGGGGTCAAGAGCCACGCAGAATGCGCCGCCTTCTCGCCCGACGGCCAGCTGCTGGTCACCGGCAGCGTGGACGGCTTTGTGGAGGTGCGTGCGCTGCGAGGCAGGGAGCGCCTGGCGGCGTGGTGCAGCTCGGCAGCGGCGCGGTCCGGACTGGGCGGCTGCCTACGTGTGCCCCAGCCACCCATCCATGCCTCCGCCTCTGCCTGCGGGCCGGGTACCCCGTTGCCTGCAGGTGTGGGATCACCTGACCGGGCGGCTGAAGCTGGACCTGCCATACCAGGCGGAGGAGCAGTTCATGCTGCACGACTCCGCCGTGCTGGCCGCCGCCTTCTCCCGCGACAGCGAGCTGCTGGCCACCGGCGACCAGGACGGGCGGGTCAAGGTGTGGCGCGTGCGCACGGGGCAGTGCCTGCGCCGCTTCGACTCGGCGCACTCCCAGGGCGTCACCTCGCTGGCCTTCTCGCGCGACGGCACCCACGTGCTGTCCGCCTCGTACGACACGCTCGTCAGGTGGGCGGCGCGGGGAGTGCAGGCAGGGGGAGCGAGGCGGGTGGGGCTAGGGGCCGCCCAGTCCGCTGTGCACCTGCGCGCAGTTGGTTTGGCGCTGGCCGGGCAGCCCCCCGCCTTGATACCCGGCTCCGCCTGAAAGTGTTGCTGCCTTGGCCCGGCCCCGCCCTGCGCCTGCAGGGTGCACGGCATCAAGAGCGGCAGGATGCTCAAGGAGTTCCGCGGCCACAGCTCCTTTGTCAATGCCGCCGTCTACTCGGCAGACGGCACGCAGGTGGGTGGGTGGGTGGGTGGGTGGGTGGGGTCCAGGGCTGTGCCAACCCATCCAAATCGCCCAGCCAGTCTGCGTTTCGCGCCATGGTTGGCCAGAGGCTTAAGTTTGCTTGCCGTGCTGCCCGCCACGCTGCGCTGCCTGCAGGTGGTGAGCGCGGGGGCGGATGCCACGGTGCGCGTGTGGGACGCCAAGACCTGCGACTGCACCTTTGTCTTCCGCCCGCCCCAGGCCAGCGCCACCGCCGAGGCGCCGGTGGTGGGCGTGGCGCTCAACCCCCAGAATGTGGACCAGGTGCTGGTGGCCACGCGCTCCCCATCCCTCTACCTCATGACGCTGCAGGGACAGGTGGGCGGCCCGCTGCGAGGGATGTGGTTGGGGCGCATGGTGCCGGTGTGTGCAGCGTATGCAGCCCCTGTGTGAGCACTCCTGCCACTGCACCTTCTCCCTACCACTCCTGGTCCATCTCTCCCCACCCGGCCTGCCCGGCCGTGCCCCCACAGGTTGTGAAGAGCTTCCAGTCGGGCAAGAAGTCGGGCGGCGACTTCCTGGCGTTCACGCTGTCGCCGCGCGGCGAGTGGGCCTACTGCCTGGGCGAGGACGGCGTGCTCTACTGCTTGTCCATGGCGGCCGGCAAGCTGGAGCACCTGATGCAGGCCAGTCACAGTGGTGTCGTGGTTAGGTGGTGGGGTCGCCTCGCTGCTAAGCATTTCGCCGTAGGCAAGGCATTTGGTGAGCTGCTGAGTTGCCCCACCATCACATCGCTTTGTGCAGGTGGCAGAGAAGGACCCCATTGGCTTGGCGCACCACCCGCACCGCAACCTGCTGGCAACCTTTGCAGCGGATGGCACGCTTAAGACGTGGAAACCTTGAGACTTCTGCTGCTGACCAACAGCCGGCGACAGCCAGTCGGTCTGCCCTCACCCTGTGCTCTCTTTTCTTGTCCTGCCTTCCCTGCTCTTGACCTGACCAAACTGTCCTTATGTTTACATTGACGGAACTTAGCATACAACGGGCAACAGTTGTGCAGCAAGCAAAGCGCTCCAGATCCTTGGACAGATGTCAGAACCTGCAGATGGGGCCAGGCCAGCCATGGCCTGGCATGCAAGCAGCAAGGCAGTGGGGCAAGCACGCATGAAACCGGGAGGGCTCCAAATTGTCTGGCTCCACCTCCATGTTGCCGACTGTGGTCAACGCGTTGCCAGATTGAGGGGAGGCGTACGTTGCCCTGACGTGCAGCCTAGGCGGTAGCCAAGCGAGGCGACGACCGTGCAGAGAGGAGGGATGGTTCAGTTGACAGCGAGGCGAGCGAGCGAGCGAGCCACCCAGCGATGCGCAGTGCGACACGTTCCAGGCGGCCCAGCGGCGGCAGCGATCAGCGAGGCGGCAACAGCAGTCTCTCCAGCAGAGCAGCAGCGAGCCTGCACGGCATAAGGAGCAAGCACAGAGCAGCCAGCAGGTGTCAGCAAAAGGTGCTCGTGGGTCAAGGCCAACTGAGAAGCTTACAGCAGGGAAAGCAACACAATAAACAAAGAAAGGGGAGAGTTGTTTGAACATCACAGAAAACACATCCTGGCAGCAGGGCATGTCAAAGCACAACACACTGTAAATCATCCTTTCACGGTGGCCCCCTGGCAGAGCACGGACAGGCATACCTCTGGGAGCGCAGCAGCGGGTGCAGGGCGATCCCACAGCGGTGCGACCATAAGCATGTTGCAGAGTGCAAGCGAGCGAGCAAGAGACTGATCAGTCATTCCGTGTGACAAAACGAGCTGTCAGGTGCCTTGGCTGGCGTCATTCGTTGCAGATGCATGGCTGGCTTCGCTCCACATGGAGATTAGCGCGCTGCGACTTGCGGGATAAACATGTTGAGCATTCACTTGGCCTCCGTGTCCGCAGCCGGCCTGCATGCGCGGGAGAGAGCAGGGACGCTTGAACATGCCACAGGAGCAGGAGAAGCAAGGGTCTGCAGAACTGGCAGCCTCGGCGGCAGCACATCCAGCGGCCGGCCATCATGCCCGATGCACCAACCTGCACCAACAAGCTCACTCATACGCCGGAGAGTCCCGGCGGTCACGACCACCGGCAGGGCTGCGGGAGCGCTGAGGGGAGCGATCCCGCCTGTCGTAATCGCGGTCGCGGCCGCCACCGCGGCGGTCATCGCGCCGATCGTCATGCCTGTAGGTAAGCAGTTGCAAAACGCTTACCATGAGAACAGCGGCGCAAGCAAGAATACTGTGCTTGATCGAACGGAGACATCAGGTACATTGGCAGCAAGGCTGAGCTCAAACCGGCGCTTTGCCAGCCAATCCCTGCAGCGCACACCTGTCGTCGCGCCTGTCGTAGTCGCGCGAGCGGTCGTCGCGGCGATCGTAGTCGCGGTCCCGCCCGCCACCGTAGCCGCCCCGGTCGCCGCCCCGGTCGCCGTACCGGCCACCACCGCCACCACCGCCACCACCGCCAGGGCCGTTGGGGTTGCCGCTGGGGCACTCGCGCGCAAAGTGGCCAATCTGCATCACAAGGAGGACGGACAGTGCAGGGGGGTGAGCTCGCAAGAAGGCGTGCATCCCAGGCTGGTGTGCCGAGTGCCGGCCTTCCCGACATCCGACACTCCTTGCCCACAAACAGTAAGGCAGGAAATGGCACAGCTCACCTCGCCGCAGGCGTAGCACTTGCTCTGGCCGTAGGCAGGCCTGTCGCCGTAGCCACCACCGCCGCCGCCGCCGCCATCATAACGGTCGCCCCCGTACCCGCCGCCGCCGCCGCCACAGCCACCACCGCCCCTGCCACCGCCAAAGCCACCCTCGCGGCGCGAGGGCCTGGCGCGCTCCACCTGCAAAGGAGGAAGTTCAGGGGCAGCCAACGGCAGTGTGTTTGTGGAAGACAAGGGCAGGGATGGGGAGGCACAGGGTGATGGCTGAGGTGGAGCACAGGCAAAGCAGCCTGACCGCACCTTCCAGCCGTTCTTGCCATCCAGGGCCGCCACCGCATCATCAGCATCCCTGTCGTCCACCATGGTAACAAAGCCAAAGCCTGGCGGGTTCCTGCAGCACAAAAGGGCATACAAAAGGTAAGGCGAGCAGGACGGCCAGGTCGGCAGGCAGGCAGACGGTAGCAGCGGGACGTCGTTGGGTGCCCGCGCCTCATCCAAAGGGCGCATCTTACCTGGCAATCCAAACTGCCTCTACTTTGCCGTACTTGCCAAACTAAACAGCAGGAAAACCGAAGGAGGCATTGCTTGGTCAAGCGCACAAATCAGGTTGCCGGTCAGAGACACCCGACCGTTCCCGCCACCGCCCGCCACGCGTGGGCCCTCGTGTGCGGCGCCCGCCCCGTCGCAGCGTGCTCCAAGCACTTCATTGCGGCACCCTCAAGACGTCCAGCAGCCGAAAACCAAGCATGCGTGTGGCATCCAGGGCGAGCTGATTTGCAGCGCTCCGCGGCGTTCCATGGCTGGCGCGGCCGAAATCGGCTCCGTGCATCTCCCAGCGTGCGAGAACAGCAGTCACCTCGGCCTCCAGGTCCTGCTGCTGGATGCGATCGTCCAGCCCGCCGCAAAACACACGCGTACCCCCGGATGCCATGACGAACTGGTTCAGGGATCCGCTGGAGAGGTTGGGAAGCTGGCGGGGAGGGAGGGGAAGGCGAGTTCTAAGCGCGCCGTGGAGAGCGAGGTACAGCTGGAGTACTCGTTGCATGGGCGCGCACAGGCCTGCCCGCGATCCAAATTGCTTGCAAATTTCATCCATCTCTTCATAGGGCTTACGCCCGACAGCAGGATCACCTGCTCGGCGTCTCAAAAGAAATACCGCGCTGGGGAGCTCAGAAGGTTCATTGGAAGCGCCCCAGGGGCCCTTGACTCAGGCAAAAGCGGCAGCATCAGTTCTCCCCTCGGCCTGCCGCCCGCTCCCCCTGCCGTCGCCGCCTTGTGCCGCCGCCGGCACCCACCTCCGCTGCAATAATGGAATGCAGGCCCATGGACCCGGGCTGCTGCGCCGAGGCGCAAAGCTTTACGGCCGAGGCGGAGGCCTGCAACCTGCTGGCCAGCGATCCCACGCTGGAGAGCTGCTGCCAGCGTGACCTGAAGGAGCAGGCGGTGGTAGCACGGCTCAAGGCACAACTCAGCATCCACGACCGCAGCAAGGAGCGGCTGCGGGTGGCGGGGCGGGTGCTGGGAGCAGCGCCGGTGGCGTCAGCAGAGGCGCTGCAGCCGGGCAGCGAGCTGGACGATGAGGAGGACGAAGAGCTGGGTGGGTGTTGGCTGCCGGCTCGCTCCGCTGCGCCCCACCTGCCTGCCCCATGCTGCCCTCGGCTTTCCTTCTGACTGCTTGGCTGTGCTGCAGGCCGCCTGCAGGCGCAGCGACTGCAGCAAATGCAGCGTGAGGCGGAGCGCAAGGCACAGCTGCAGCAGGTGGGCCACGGCGGCCTGGCCGACGTGCCCGAGTCGCGGCTGCTGCGCGAGGCCGAGTCGTCGGCGGTGCCGCTGGTGTGCCACGTGGCGTTTGAGGGGTCACCCCTGGACGATGAGCTGGACGAGCACCTTGTCAGGCTGGCGCATCAGCACCTGGGCACACGCTTTGTCAGAACGCTGATCAACCTGCGAAGCACACTGCACCTGCGGCTCCGCTCGCCGCCGGGCCCAGGTGCGGTGTTGGGCACGAGCCGGTTATGTGATCCCATGCCAACCTGCTGCATGCTGCAGTCGTGGGGACGAGCATCGTTCTGTTTGAGCTGCCTGCCTCCTTGCTGCCACCATTGTGCAGGTTTGCTGTGCTTCCGCGCGGGGAGCCTGGTAGGCGCTGCTGGCCTGGACCGCTTTGGCGCCCCAGAGTGCATCCAGGAGGAGGCTGTGGACAAGTGGCTGCGACAGCACAGGGTGCTACGCCTGCTGTCTAACCACGGCGGCAAGGCACCAAGCGGCTGGCAAGGTGGCAGCTTGCAGGATGACAGCGACGGTGGCAGCAGCGGGGAGGAGGAGGCGGCGGCGGCGGATGACTGGCAGCAGCCCTGTGAGGTGTGCGGTAGGCGCTACCCCCACCACCACATACGATCCGTGCAGGCCACGAGGGGCAGCGACAGCGAATCTGACTGACTTGACTGACTTTGGCGGCATGGGGCAGTGTTAGTGCCTGTAGACCAGCCTTGCTGCTGTTGAACAACCGATCAGCGAGCGAGGGATCGCTACAGATTACATGACAAGCACTAGTACAGCACCAGGCAATGGAAAACTTGGAGGCATTGGCCACAGCATGATGGGATGGTTGGCATCAGATGCCATTGTGCTCACTGAGTTCATTGTACATGCCTGCCCCGAGGTATCCCCTTTCGCGCATCGGCAGCCACGGCGGGATGCCTTGCCGGTGAATGAAGAACAACGCGCCTGCGCCCCCCAGCAACATGCTCACAATCATCCAGAAAAACATGGTGCCGCCTCCCACGCCCTTCTTGCCACCGCGTTGGATGTCAATCTTGATGCTGCACTCCTTGGCCAGTGCACAGGCGCTGCCGTCGGTTGGGCAGGTGCAATTTTTCAAACACACCACGTTGCTGTCGGCCGAGAAGGCATCCTGCGGCAGCAGCCAAGAAAAAAGGGTGTGAAAGAGAGCCCCGTGATTCTAGGAACGATGGGGGATGGGGGCCTAAATTGACCATGTGTCTGGCAACCCCAAGGAATATGCTTGCCTTGGTGCACTCATCCTGCACGCAGTTGGCTTCGGCTGCCTGCCGGCGGAAGCCGGCTTGGCAGGTGAAGTCGGCACAGTCCTCAGAGAAGCTGCAGGCAGGCAGGGGGATGGCCAACCTAAGGCACGTGTTGGAGAAGCTGGGGACCTGCTAGAATGCTGCAGAAGTGGACACGTAGGGCAATTGGCTGGCCTGGCTTGCCTGCACTCCGTGCCATTGTTGCAGCGGCACTCTTGCCAGCAGCTGCCGTGCTGCTCCGGCTTCTCCACACCCCGCCTGGAGCCGTCCAGGCAGGTGGCATTCTGGGAGACGGAACAGTCTCCGCCCGCCCAATTGGCCTCACACTCACACACACCATCGGGGGTGCAGCTGCGGAGGGCCAGGAGCAGGCAGGCAACAAGGGTTCTTGCCTGCTGTTCAACACGGCAACGCAGAGCGTTCTGCGCAGGTCCCAGCAGCAAACCTGGTTGGGCATCACCATTGAGCGAGCATCACCACAAACTCACGTTCCGTGGCCGTGGCAGTTGTGCAGGCACCGCCCAATCTTGTGCACCGTCAGGTTGAACGAGATGGGCATGACTGGCATGGGGTTGTACATGGCCAGCGTCCAGTTGCCTTGGCGCACTTGGCTGGGGCAGAGGGAGAGGTTGTAGGCCACGCCCGGCAGGTCCAGGCTGAGCTTGTGGGTGAAGTTGGTGGCGCTTGGGTAGCTGCTGCCGTCCGTCTGCAGTCAAGGGGGCCTGGCCCGGAGACTCAGGGAGGTCACCGGCTTCCCTGGCGAGCAGGAGTGTGCCAAAGTCGGGCTGGTAGACACGCGACAGAGCCGCCCTGGTGTGCAGCAATGCCGCCATCACCTTGTCCAGCAGCACCGAGGGGTGTGCCTCCAGCCAATGCGTCGCAACCGTGGCCTCATAGCTCGCTTCCACCACCAGCTCCACATTGCCAGTCAGCATGCTCTCTGAAGGTGCGAGGAGTCAACAGCGGGGGCACAGCAGCACCTCAGCTGGATGCGCACAACACAGGCCCTGGCCGCTCCTGCTCGCATGCCACCGCAGGGGCCGAGCATCGCATGGCACAGCCATGGTCCCCGACCGCACCCAGGGCCCCATACTTGCCTGTGGGGGCTGGCAGCGAGAAGTAATTGATTTCAAATGCCGCTGGCACCTGGTGGACTGTCACGCCATACTCCAGCGGGAGTGAGGACTTGGAGCAGTCCTGACCGCCAAAGCCCTCGTCGCATAAGCACTGCCTGAGCGGTGGCTCCACGCCGGTGGGCACGCAGGTGCCATGGGAGGAGCAGTTGCCGGGGCAGTCATACTTGGAGATAGTGAGGGTGTAGTTTATAGGGGCGTCAGAGCCCACCTGCGGTGAGGCCAGGGAACGCAATGAATGCAGGCTCCGGCATGGCGTCAGCATTCCACTGGGATGGGGCTGCGGCAAATAGACCGAGTTATGCCATGCCCTGCAGCGGCACCGGCGGTAAAGGCGGCAACAGCGCACCACGCCCGCAAACCACACGCCGGAGCGCCACTGGGACAGGGAGCGGTGCAACACCGCCTCAATCGATCGGTCACCGGTGGCGGCATTCCAGCGGGGGCGCAGGTCGTACTGACGAGGCCCCCAGCCTGCATAGGGAGTGACAGCAGGATGTGGCCAGTCCTCTTTAAGGGCTGCACTCGTCAACTCAAGCCATAAGCTGCTGTGGTGGCCTGCCCGCCATGCAGACAGCAGCACAAGAAGGCTTGCACACCCACACCAGCAGCTCCCAAAGCACCTGCGGGCTGCTCCGACTTGAGGAAGAGATCGATCCCACCCTTGCTGGAATTGCCTTCCAGGGCAACCGACACCACCACCTCATTGTCGCCCTCCTCGACATGGAAGCGGTACTGCCGCCAGCTGCAGGCCCACAGGACAGCGGCAGCCGGATAAGGCGAGGGAGCATGGGTGCAGCACAGGCAGATGCGTTGCGCCATGCACTGTTTGCCCGGGCCAGGCGCCCAGGCACTGCTTGCAGGCAAGCAGCAGCTCACTGGTCTGGCTCCACACTCTCGTGCTCCAGCTGGAAGGTCTTGTTGGCGGTCAGGGCGTCGCGGCTGACGTTGAGCGTGGGAGTGCTGCAGTCCTCAAACCCAATGCCAGGGTAAACCGTAGCCACCGGCTTGGCAAAGCTGCCCGTGCACACGCATTCGCCCCCTGCGGTGCACTCGCTGTAGCGGCGCTCGGCTTCCGGTGCATCTGCTGCCGTCTGGCACATGAGCGGTGTGCCAGTGTCGACGTCAAAGCTGGCGGGGCAGGGGGTGAGGGTGGCATGCAGGGAGAACTCAATGGGCTCGGAGCCGTAGGCCCTCGCGCATACATAAGCGCCCAGGTAGTCATCCAGCCCCTTCTTGATGCTCTGGAGGATGGTGGGGTGGCTGGAGGAGGATGTGTCTTGAAAATCGAAGCCCTTGGCGCTCATACTGGGCACAGCGCTGCCGTTGGTCCACAGCCCAAACAGGTCGGGGTCCCCCTTCTCGTCGGCGGACGTCCTCTGAAGCAGCACTGTGAAGTAGTTCCAGGTGTCATTCCTGTAAGATGCAGAGGAGTGTGTTGCGGTGGGCAGGCAGCCAGGCGCGGAGAGCTGCGCCACGTCAAGCGCTCCCATGCATCACCGGCGCCTGCTACAGCTGCGGCGCCCCTGACGAATGCCATGATCACTCACTTCCAAGGAGCCCTCACTGCAAAGCAACTCCAATTCCCTGGCGCCAGAGACGCGCAGCCACTTCCGTGGCACCAACCGGTCATGTCCGAGCCGTCGGCGCTGCCGCCGTAGACGGGCAGGGCGCAGTCTGGCCCCGTCCAGCCGCTGCTTCCAGGCTCGGGCCAGGAGCCATCGCACTGGCACGAGCCATCGTCCGCCCGCTTCCCGTGCCCGCTGCAGTCCTCACCCGCGGCAGCGATCGCCACGTGAAGGGTCAGCAGGACAGCCAGGCCCAGAGGGGTCCTGTTCATGTCGGCAGTCGTGACCGAAGAAGAAGAAGAGAAGAAGAATGACACACGTGGGTGACCAGTTGTCTGGCGCCGCCTGTCCCCCGCCGGCCTCCCCTCCACGTCAGCAACCATGCACACACCGAATGTGTGACTGAAATGCGTGAGACTGTGCTGTCACACAAGGGCAAAAGAGAAGTTACTCACACTGGATACACTAGCTTGACGGTTCAATGGCCTGCAAGCCCAGCGAAAGAGAGTAGCACAGCTTCCTACTCTGCCCCAGCGCTTTTGCTACGCTTCGTGCAGCCGAGCTGGGCGACTGCCCCGCCGCGACCGCCTGCCGCAGAGCCTCCACAATCTGGTCCTCGCTGACCGCCTCTCCCTGCACCGCTGCCGCGCTGCCAGACCCTTCTATCAGCAGCACAAACTCGCCACGTGGACCCCGCTCGCTGAACTCCGCCAGCGCCTCCCCCAGGCTGCCGCGCCAAAGCTCCTCGTGCCGTTTTGTCAGCTCCCGGGCCAGGCAACAACTACGAGCAGCAGGCAGGGCAGGCAGGAAGGTCAGTGGGGGGGGTGCTGGGGGCAAAACCAGGCGCAGTTTGGAGGGTGGCCACGCACACAAAACAAAATTGGCTAAGCTTCGCGCCCGCCATCATCAGCAGGTGGTTGAGCAGGCAGCAGCTCGTACCGGCGGTGGGCGCCCAGCACCTGGACGGCATCCTCCAGCGCCGCCAGCAGCGAGTGCGGCGACACGTAGAAGACGAGCGTCGCCTCCTGCCCCGCCAGTTTGGACAACTGCTTCTGTCGCGCACCCGCCTTGGGCGCTGTGAAGCCGCAGTACAGAAACTGCTGTGTGGGTAGGCCCGAGGCCACCACCGCGGCCAGCACCGCTGAGGGGCCAGGCACTGGGATGACGCGCACGTTTGCTGCTGCTGCCGCCGCCACCAGGTCGGCTCCAGGGTCATTGATGGCAGGCGTGCCCGCGTCGCAAACCAGGGCAATGGCGGCACCCTGCTGTAACTGGCGCAGCACCTGGACACAAATGAGGTGAAATGAGCACGCTTCAGCATGCGCGAGCGGCAGTCTGATCAGCATGGGATGCTGCAGAGCGCCCTGACAGCTGGGCGAGCGCACCATGGCCTCCTTCTGCCGCTCGTTGTGCTGGTGGAAGGACTCTAGGCGTGTGTGGATGTCATACCGGCTGAACAGCTGGCGCGTGTGTCGCGTGTCCTCGGCCAGCACCAGGCTGGCGGTGCGCAGCACACGCAGCGCACGCAGCGTGACATCCTCCAGGTTGCCGATGGGTGTGCTGACAATGTACTGCAGGAAAAATGAAGCTGTGGAGCATGAGGTGAGGAGCATGCCGTTGCAAGCCTTGTTGACATTGCATGGAGGGCAGCCCGTTGGTTGATGGAGGCCCAAGCTTTTCACAAGTATCTACTACCCACTATCTCCAGACCAATGGGTGTCGACATGCAGCTCACCAAGCCAGGGTCCAGCGCTTGGTCATCCGCAGTGGCGGCAGTCGGCGAGGCAGTGGCGGCGGGAGCCGGCCCGTCGCCGCTGGCTGCTGCTACATGGCCACGCCTGTGGCATTGTTGCCACCGCGCTGCAGCACACTGCGCTGCTCCCTGGAAGGCATGCAGGCTCGTGAACTGCTGGGCCTGCCAGGCAACTCGAAGGCAGGGGAGGGCGAGCGCCGCCATTTGCACTGGTGGACGACACGATGGTATCCATGCATGCATTGCAAGAGGCAAGAAGGCCTGGAGTCGAGAGTTTCAGGTGGCCGCTGATGTCCTTCGTGGCATGTGCCTGGCTGCCTGGCGGCCCCTCAAAACAGTAAACCCAATAATCGGGTTGTCCTGAGGAAATCTAGAGCCCGCTCCTGAGTCCAGCCGCACGGAAACCGCCCCCTTCTGAACTCGAGGCAGCAGGAGGCAGCAGGAGTCGCCGGGGAGCTGCCTAGCGCTCGGAGCCTGAGTAGAGTTCGCAATGCTGCGGGGGGCGATACAGGGGTGGCGCACACTGCAGCGCAGTGTTGCCAAGGAGGCCAAGAGCGGCCTGCAGCGGGCGTTCAGGTGAGTGGCCGCTGAACAGCAGGTTACTGAGCGCCCCGGCCCCAAGCTGAGCCGGCTGCTGCCCCTTCTGCCCACCGCCGCACATGCAGCGATGCCACGCCGCCGCCCGCCAGCCGCAGCCGGCTAGGCGCTCTGACAGAGGAGTCGGAGACGGCGCACAAGCTGTTTGATAATGTCAAGCTGCCAGCAGAGGCGATGGAGGGTGCAGCAGGGGCAGGCACCTCTGGAGCAGCAGCAGCAGCAGCAGACGCGGCGGCGCTCGATGCGATAGAACACTCGGCGGCAGGGAGAGTGCTCAGTGTCATTGGCAACACGCTGTTCTTTGGCAGCGTGGCGGCCGCCTCCTTCTTCGGCTACTACACCTACCGCTACGATGTGGGCCAGGTGGAGCGCATGATCGAGGAGACAGAGTCTAAGCCCGAAAACGCCTTCCCCGGCTCCTCGGTGCGCTGGGCGTGCCAGCAGCTGGGCGGGGGAAGCGGCAGATGCGGCACCTGGTCTGATTGGCCTGCTGCGTTCGCATGAGCGACTCCCTGCTCTGCACGCCTGCAGCTGTGGGTTCCGGTCATGAAGTGGTATGCGGGGCAGCGGCAGCAGCTGGAAGGCGAGATGAAGAAGTATGCCGACCCGCCCTCCGACCGCCTGCTGCCCGACCTGCCGCCCAACGCGCGCCACATCAAGACCCTGGTGCTCGACCTGGATGATGTGCTGGTGCACTCAGACTGGACGCGCGGACGGTGAGTGCGCAGGGGGTGGGCGAGGGCCAGGCTGACATGGTTGCGGTGCTGCGTGCTGAGCTGGGAGGCTGCAGGCAAGCCTGGACAGCCAGGTCTTGGAGAGTCGTGCACACGTTGTGCCGGCTGGCAGGTGCCCGATTGCTGCTCCGCCTGCGCCCGCTGGACCCCCGCCCGCAGCGGCTGGCGCACCTTCAAGCGGCCCGGGGTGGAGGACTTCATCCGCTCCATGGCGCAATACTACGAGCTGGTGGTGTACACCAGCCAGCTGCCCACCTATGCAGACCCCATCCTGGACCGCCTGGACCCGCAGCGCATGATTCAGTACAGGTGTGGTGGCGCGGTGGGTGGGTGCATGGTGCGCTACGTGCAAGGGGGAGGGAGCGACCGCCGTGCGTGGGCCTCCATGTGCTGGTGGGCCTGGCGGCAGGGTGCGGCCTGTCGTCAGCCAAAGCAACAAGCGGTTGGCAGGCCCAACCATCCTTATACATTGACTTTGCCCCTGCAGACTGTACCGCGACAGCACGCAGTACGTGAACGGCAAGCACGTGCGCGACCTGTCCAAGCTGAACCGCGACATGCGGCAGGTGCTGTTCGTCACCGCAGACCCAGACGCATACGCGCTGCAGCCGGAGAACGCCATCAAGGTGTGGCTTTGGTGATGGGCTGCAGGGTGCTGCAACTGCAGTGGCGCCGCAAAAGGTTGCACGCCGGGCGTGCTAGCTGCGATGCTTTGCTGCGTTGCGAGCTTGTGAGGGTCTTCACAACTCTGTCGCCGCCTGCTGCCCCACGTGCAGCTGAGCAAGGAGTGGAAGGCGGGGGACACGATGCTGCTGGACCTGCTGCCATTCCTTGAGGCGGTGGTGCGCACGCAGGTGCGGTGTGACAACACAGGGCGGTACATTGCAGTGGGGCAGCATTTCTGTCCCTACCGGCTGTCGGCAGAGGCTGGCAGTCCCATGCGAGCCCGCTGCCCTCCTTTCACTGCCTTGCAGGTGCCGGATGTGCGGGATGTAGTCAAGTCTTATGACGGGAAGGACATTCCCATTGCCTTCCGCGAGCGCATGAAGCGCCTGCAAGAGCAGCAGGCCGAGCGGCAGCAGCAGCAGAAGGGCTTCCTGTCGGGCTTTGCACGGCGATGAACATGGCCTGGGAAGCGACTCGGGATCAAGCCCAGCGCACCAAGCCCCCACAGACCAGCAGCGTTGATTTAGCCATAGGCAGCCATCCATGTTGCCTGCTGTGTCAAAATGCTTAGCTATTTTGCAATTGCAGCAGAAACATATAATGGAGCAACAATGAAATGCGATGACAGCAGGGACATTAACAGGCAAGAATGGGCAGGAGGAACAGCAGGAAGACTGGCCAAGGAAATGGGCAGGAGGTGGCGAAAGGGAATGAGCGAGGGTCATGCCCCTCATTGTTGCCTCTCGTTCTTTCGCTTTTTCTTCTTCTTCTCACCATTTCCGTTAGCTGCCCCCTCCGCTTCAGCTGCAGCTGCCTTACTCTTCTTCTTTGACTGCCCTGTCTTGGCTTCTGGCTGCTCCTCTTCATCGTTGTCGCTGCTGTGCTGCTCGGATGCAGCTATGCCATTGGCCTGCTCGTCACCCTCTGCTGCTGATGTTGGTGCTGCAGCTCTGGGCTCGTCGCTGTGCGTCCTTGCAATGCCGTCCAAATCTTCCAAAGCTGTCGCCATCTGCTCGAGGGTGGCAGTGTCGTCGTGCACAATTGATCCACCATCCTGAGACAGGAGACAGAGAGCGCGTCAAGAAGAGAATTGAGGGGGCCAAGCATCAGCTGAATGCGGTCATTGCAGCCTAAATGCGCGACTGCAGCCATTCTGCAGCCGCATGGGGCTGCTGCAACAGGAAAATGACATACCACCCATTTCTGCATCGCAACCAACAGGACTCACCGTATCCAACAGCTGCCGTATGCTGGCGGCCGCATCGGCCAGGGGACAAGGCGCACGCGGTCCCATCTGCGCTCGTGTTACCACGCGCTGCAGGAAGAACATTTCCTCGTCCATGGCAGTCATGTTTAGGCGTTCTCTTCTCTCCTCTCTCCTCTTCTCCCTTCCTCTCCCTTCTCTTCTCTCTCCAAGAGTCGCGCGGTGCCGGCAGACGGGGCGGGCCGATTTGGGGTGGCGCTGGATTGAATCCTAGCTGCTGCTCGGTTCCAGGCTGTGCACACAGCAAGGTGGCGTGCAGGGAGGGGCGCGTGAGCCGCAAGAACAGCATGCAAGTTTGGGGCCGGTGTCGTGTGAACGGCAGAGGCGCTAAATTGCTGCAACAATCGCTACTGATGGCTGACAGCAACAGCACAACGCCAATGGTCCATCACCGCGCCCTGTTGGCTTTTCTTCTCCTCGACCCCAGGCCCCCATCCGCATGCCAGTTTGTGCATTTGACGCCTGCCTGCTCCCTCCTGGCGCCTGTATCGTTTGTGGATCTCGTGCAGCAAAATGGTGGCGGTCAGCTTGAGCCCCATCAGCGCAGGCCAGTGCGCCAGGCCTCAGGCCGCAGCGAGGCTGTGTGGGCTGCAGCGCATTGCGGGCAAGGCGATCGCGGTGCATCAAGCCAAGCGGGCTCCCGTGGTGGCAGCTGCTTCCGCTAGCCGGTGAGGCTAATGGTCTACTGGTGCCCCCCCATGACTCGACGCACGGCCCTCCTGCCCGCCCGATAGCCCCCAGCTACCGCTCCGACCGCCAATGCGCTCCTTGGGGGTGCCCAACACCCCGCGATCCTCCGCAACGGCCCCACCCGCCCACCACCGTGCCGCCGCCGCCTGTGTTGCAGGTTTGTGGTGCGGGCGCAGGCAGCTGGCAAGAACGGCTCCCCCAGCTCCGCCCCCGCCGGCGGCGAGCAGTATGACTACGACCTCATCGTCATTGGCTGCGGCGTGGGCGGCCACGGCGCCGCCCTGCACGCCGTCGACTGCGGCCTCAAGGTGGCGGTGATCGAGGGGCACGACATTGGCGGCACCTGCGTCAACCGAGGCTGCGTGCCCTCCAAGGCCCTGCTGGCCGCCTCCAACGAGGTGCGCAAGCTGCGCAACGACCACCACCAGAAGACGCTGGGCATCCAGCTCAACGGCGTGGCCACCTTTGACCGCCAGGCCATCGCCGACCACGCCACCAACCTGGCCTCCACGGTCCAGGGCAACCTGCAGCGCAGCCTGGAGAGCCTGGGAGTGGTGAGTGCGGGGGCCGGCCAAGGTGGCAGCAGGGATGCTGGCAAGCCACAGGGCGCACATGGGCACCCGACGTGGTCTCTCTGGGCAGCAGACTGGCCGATTCTGGCAGGTGGAACCCACCACTATCTGGCTGTGCGTCCATTAGGCGGGAGCCGAGCTGCATTATAGCACATCAGTAGGCCCGCTTCCAGTGCATCCAGAGCATGCTTGCCAGCAAGGCCCATGCCAGCCGCCAGCTCGCCCTCCAGCCGCCAGGCGCCGATGCCGCATTCCGCCTTGCCTCCACCGCCCCGCTTCCTGCAGACCATCCTCAAGGGCCAGGCCAAGCTGACCGGGCCGCACACCGTCAGCTACGGCCTGCCCGGCCGCGTGGACGTGGGCGGCTCTGCAACCGCCAAGGACATCATCATTGCCACCGGCTCTGTGCCCTTTGTGCCGGGTGGCATCGAGGTGGACGGCAAGACTGTGTTCACCTCGGACCACGCCCTCAAGATGGAGTGGCTGCCCAACTGGATCGCCATCATCGGCAGCGGGTACATCGGCCTGGAGTTCTCAGATGTGTACACCGCGCTGGGCTGCGAGGTGGGGAGCGAGCAAGGGTGGGGCTGCGGGGTGGAGGCTGGGGGGTGGGCGAGGGCTGGGAGGGGGCGGCTAGGCACGCTGCGAGGCTAGCGAGGCAGCCAGACGGATGGCAGCAGACTCCCAGCTGCCGTGTCAGTCTGCATTCCCTGGAGACCCCAGCCTGGCATACCGATATGCGCACTCCACCTGCCCTCCACGGCCTCACTGCGCCACACTCAGGTGACGTTTGTTGAGGCACTGCCCAACATGATGCCCGGGTTTGACCGCGAGATTGCCAAGCTGGCGCAGCGCCTGCTCATCAACGGCCGCCCCATCGACTTCCACACCAACGTCATCGCATCCAAGGTCACCCCAGGTGCGGCGCCCGCTCAGCCCTAGTGGGCTACAGTGGCAAGGGAAAGCGGGGCAGGCTGATGGTGGTGGTGCTGCTGCTGCTGCTGCCCGCCTGCCCGCCCGCCTGCCTGCACCCCTCCATTCCACGCCGCCCTACGCTTTGCTTCAACCCTGTGCTACTTACTCGCCTTTGGCGTGTGCCCTCGCCCGCGCTGACCCTGCTGCAGGCGTGCCTGGCGTGAAGCCGGTCAAGATTGAGCTGACCGACTTCAGCACCAAGGAGGTGGTGGATGAGCTGGAGGTGGATGCGTGTCTGGTGGCCACCGGACGCGCCCCCTACACCAACGGCCTCAACCTGGCCTCGGTCAACGTGCAGACCGACCGCCGCGGCTTTGTGCCCGTGAACGACAAAATGCAGGTGGGGGCTGGGGCGGCGGCCGGCAGGCTGGAAGGGACAGGAGCAGGTGGTGGGCAGGATGCTTTCAGTCGGCGGGGGCGGGCCATCGATCAGCCAGCCAGCTGGGCCTCAGCCCGCTTTGCAGCAGTCGTTCCCCCCCTCGCATCCCTCTGCCCTGACCCGTGCTGTCTGCCCGCCACTCGCAGGTGGTGGACACCAGCGGCAAGGCGGTGCCCAACCTGTACTGCATCGGCGACGCCAACGGCAAGTACATGCTGGCACACGCGGCCAGCGCGCAGGGCATCGCCGCAGTGGAGTGCATGTGCGGGCGGGACCGCGTGGTCAACCACATGGCGGTGCCTGCCGCCTGCTTCACGCACCCCGAGGTCAGCTTTGTGGGCATGACCGAGGACGCGGCTCGCGAGAAGGCGGAGAAGGAGGGCTGGGCGGACAAGCTGGGTGTGTCCAAGACATACTACAAGGTGGGTGGGCTCTGCGTGGGTGGGTGGGTGGGTGGGTGGGAGTGGGTGTGTGGTGGTGTGGGGGGGGGGGGGGGGGGGC